AACTAGCGTTGCCAGATTCATTATCATCATTAACTGCTTTTATTTCCACTTTGGACAAAAACCTTCAGAGTGCCAGATTACCATGATTTTTTAAAATTAAATTGTTATGACAAATGAACTTACAGAAATATGTACTATACCATTTTATAGAATAATGGTTTATACGTGGCAGAGCTATGCTGCAGCTATATTAGTAGTATAGTTGTAATACGAATGGGTCGGCTCGACCGGGGAAGGACAACGCTCTCACAGAATACCAGCGTAAAATAGCAGCTTAACACTGCTGTGTTTCGTATGGTGTGTGTAGAAAACCGGAGACCCTTTTTACTGGAAAAGAGGCATTCCATCTTAGTCCTCACGGGTGACAATACATCTGCATTTTGATTCGCAAACGAGGATAGATATAGCTGTCTATGGGTCACAGCAACCACTTATCATCAGGTGGACTGTGTGCTCGTTTGTCACCCTATCCTATAAAAAAAACATACGAGCACACAGTTCACTTGATGGTAAGCAGATGATGTAGCTCATAAACTACATCTGTCTTCGATTAAGAATCAAAATGCAGATGCGTCGTCACCCCTGAGGACTATGATGGAATGCCCAGTTTCCAGTAAAAGGGTCTCCGGTTCTATTCACTCACCATACGAAACTGGGCAGTATTAAGCTGCTATTTCACGCTGGTATTCTGTGGGAGCGTGTTTCCCCGGTCCATTCGAGCTACAACCATAACATAGTTTATTTTTTTATGTATGTGGTGCCCTCCTGTAAGTAATGGAACATTTAGTTATAATAATTGTGATGTCATTCCGTATGTATGTAACAGTGTACTCATTCTTGTGAGAGCCTGATAAAATAAATAAATAACAAAAATGAATAGTTGCATCGTGGCTCATTATTAAAAACCGTAATATATATAACGGAGAGAGTTTCATATATTTCAAACTATTCTACTTCCGTCGTGTGACGGACGAGCAAAACATTTACTCACGCAATTACAGCAAACATGGAACGTCTGACGCGCGTCTGTGTGCGTGTGGGCGTCAGTGTGTGTGTGGCAATGCGACGAAAAAACTTAGTCGTTGACCGTTTACACAACTGTACGCGTATACCTTGCGGTTGGATCAATTCGATATTTTAGCGCGTTTAGCTGACACCGAACGTTTGTTCGGATTCTAATTAGTCGTTACTAGGAGACGTTTAGGGAGATCGTTTTAGACGTGGTAGAGCCATGCTGCAGCTATGTTAGTAGTGTAGTTGTAGCACGAATGGGCCGGCTCGACCGGGGAAGGACCACGCTCTCACAAAATACCAGCGTCAAATAGCAGCTCCATGCTGCTGTGTTTCGTATGGTGAGTGTACAGAACCGGAGACCCTTTTTACTGGAAAAGAGGCATTCTATCTTAGTCCTCACGGGTGACAACGCATTTCCTTTTTATTCGCAAACGAGGATAAATGTAGATGTCTATGGGCCACAGCAACCACTTACCATCAGGTGGACTGTGTGCTCGTTCGTCACCCTATCTTATAAAAAAAAAGACGCTATTAACATCTAATTAGATTTAACAGGTAATAATTACCGTGTAGTGGCGGTGTAGGAGAATCCATACCGCATATCGTCCAGTGGGTGTCGTGAGAGCTGACAGAGGGAAAGTAAAACAGGAGATGGGCAGCGGCATCTTTCTAAAAACAACTCAAAATTATAAAAAGCTTGCCAGGCGTGGTAACTATGGCACAATCTCCTATGAGGCACTCTATGAAGGAGGCCTATATTCAGCAGTTGACTTCTGGCTGTTATGGATGGATTATGAAGGAAGACGCTGCCCATCTCCTGCCCATATTCTTACACCGCCACTACATTGTGATTTTTTTTAAACGTTGCCCTCACTAGGATATTCTCCGGTATCGTGGAAACAGTTTACATACATTACAGAACAGAAACAATTATTTGTAGGCCTTACAAATATTTGTTCGGTACGGCATTCGATACACACGGCCAAAACTGCTGCAACTCATTGCTAAACCGTCAAAATATTCATTAAAGTTAGTAATAATATAACTTGAAATTGCGGCATGACACAATGGTGTCATAAGAAATGAAGTTTAAAGAATGAAGTTGTCAAACAAACCTAGTTACATTTTTTAGTTTTTTATAGTTTCGGGTGACAAACGAGCACACAGTGCACCTGATGGTAAGTGGTTGCTGTGACCCATAGACATCTACATTTTTATCCTCAATAAAGAATAAAAATGCAGATGGGTCGTCACCCGCGAGGACTAAGATGAAATGCCTCTTTCCAGTAAAATGGGTCTCCGAGTCTCTACACTCACCATACGAAGCAGAGCAGTGTCAAGCTGCCATTTTACGCTGGTATTCTGTGAGATCGTTGTCCTTCCCCGGTCGAGTAGACCCATTCGTGCTACAATTATCCTATTAATATAGCTGCAGCATGGCTCTACCACGTATATTCCTTTTTTTTTTTTTTTTTTTTTATAGGATAAGGGTGACAAACGAGCACACAGTCCACCTGATGGTAAGTGGTTGCTGCGGCCCATAGACATCTACATCTATCCTCTATTACAAATCAAAAAGTAGATGCGTTGTCACCCGTGAGGACTAAGATGGAATGCCTCATTTCCAGTAAAAAGGGCCTCCGGCCACCTGCACTCACCAAGCGAAACGCAGAGGTAAACCTCTACTTCACGCTGGTTTTCTGTGAGGTCGTGGTACCACCCCGGTTCGAGCCGGCCCATCCGTGCGACAGCAAAAGCTGCCACGTGGCTCTACCACTGTTAAAAATAGAAATAAAAGTCCTTAAAGTTAAAGCGTAAATACGTCCTACAACTGAGGCGCGCGCTTTCGTTCCCACCATACCTCACCGCTTTCGCATCTGAAACGAGCCCGCTACACATCCTTGCACCGCTCATTTGTGCACCGTTTCATTGCTTCGCTACGCATCCTCGCAACTCTCAGCGGCCTAGCACATCTCTGGTGGAAACGCAGCCTTGATCTCTTTCTAAGACGGTTATGAAGAATTTTATTTCATTTTCTTTACCTGGTAGATAATATATTAATACTTGCAGCCATACTGCAGTTATATTAATACTTGCAGCACGTATGGGTCGGTTAGATTCGGGAACCACGCTCTTACAGAATACCAGCGTAAAATAGCACCTTAATACTGCTGTGTTATTTATGTGTGGTGAGCGTAGAGAACCGGAGATCCTTTTTACTGGTAACGATGTGAATACCAAAGTCTGTGACATGCAGACAGAGGGTGACAACTGACAACGCAGCCCGGGTTGCTCGCGTAAAATTCATGGCTTACACCAGCTTTTGAGTCACCTATCACGGCTCCCTCTAAAAAAAAACTAAATTAGATTAGAGTTAAAAAGTTAGTACTTAGTAGCTCTTATAATATAAACAGAGATAGACGTATCACCGAGATTTTTGTTCCGAACCAGTTGTCAAAGTAAAAAGTAACTTTCAATAAGAATTATTTATATAATCTATATTTAATAAATTATTCTATTCTAGCCTTTATTGCAACTAAAATAAATTCGCTAGCAACAACGAACAAATGTTCGCTCATTCGGCATCAACAAAACAATAGTATTTATCGAGAAAACGAGCCAACGTGATCGACGGCGTGTCGTAACGATTATCCGGGGAAAAAACTTGAGACTTCTCAGTTGTAGTGCTTTGCTATAACGTCGCACAAGAACGTAGTAATGATGATAAGTATAATGCCGTACGAGGCATTGCAGAGCAGAGACAGTAAATTTTTTATTATTCGTTATTATTCTAATATAGGCCTCCCCCATAGTTTGCCTCATATGGGGGATATTTGCCATAGTTGCCACGCTTAGCAAGCTGTTTGGCAGCCGCAGTTTTCTATTTTTAGTCATTACTAACTGTCCCTCGCGACTTCGTCCGCGTGTAATTTACTACGACTTCAAGGGTTTTAAATTTTTTGCACGGAACCCTGATTCTTTTTCTAAAATAAAAGTATCCTAAGTTACTTCTTATAACATCAGCTATCTGCCAGTGAAAGTCCCGTCAAAATCGGTCCAGCCGTTTCGGAGATTAGCCAGAACAAACAGACAGACAGACAGACAAAAATGTTGAAAATTGTCTTTTTATTACTCATATATGAGTACTATTTATACTTTCATATGCATTTAGTAAAAAGCTGTCATTTTAACATTACAAACAGACACTTCAATTTTATTTATTTGTATAGATTAGGAAGACGCTCCTGCCTGTCTCCTAATTTGTTTCCCTCTGTCGCCTCTTAAAACAGGGAATATGGGGTAGTGGATATTCTTACACCGCCACTACACGGTAATTATTGAACAGGGTGAGAAATTATGTAATAAATGAAAAGTGTGGTTTGCAAAAGATATTGTGACCAGCATCAAGAAAGGAGTGCTTAGTAGTTTAGGGAATGTAGAATAAATAAATGAGGATAGAGTGGCAAAGCAAATTTATGCTGTAGAAGTGAGTGGCAGAGTTGGCAAACACAGCTACGCGTTTAATTTTAACTTTTGAAATGAAGTTCCTTATCGCCGTACGGTACGAATTTGGCGGATGGGCGCTAGGCGAGAAAAAGTGTAACATTTTTCTGTCACGACCCCCTTTCTATACGTCAACAGTGCGAGCGAGATGTAATAATATCCATCTCCCTTGCACTTCTTCTTCCGGATCTGAGTCACCTGCATCCATCGATTCCTAACATTTTTTATCAGGTCGCCACTCCATCATCAGGTCTCCAGTTGGGGTCGTCTGATATTGCGCTTGTATGAAATTACCACTCGATAACCGCTAATGTGCTATTACCACAAAATATAGGCCTCAGCCACCTGCATGCAGCGATTCTTAACATAACATCGCCACTCCATCATCAGGTCCGACACCATGACCATGCAGGGACCTTATTATAGTACAGAGGTTAATCAAACGCAATAATAAAATAAACTGTTTTCTTCTATTTCAGGGAATGAACATACGCCTCGCGTTTGCTGTGGTTTCATCAGCTTGCTGGTCCGCCTTCCAACATGGATACAATACAGGAGTCATCAACGCTCCACAAGCGGTCAGTAGTCCATTAGAGACCATAGATTAGTGCACAGTGCTCAAGAAGACAAGGGCAGGACAGCCATGGCCTCGGGTGCCAGATTTTAAAATATTTTTTTATAGGATAGGGTGACAAACGAGCACACAGTCCACCTGATGGTAAGTGGTTACTGTGGCCCATAGACATCTACATCTATCTTCGATTACGAATCAAAATGTACATGCGTTGTCACCCGTGAGGACTAAGATGGAATGCCTTGTTTCCAGTAAAAAGGGTTTCCGGTTCTCTACACTCACCATACGAAACACAGCAGCGTTAAGCTGCTATTTTACGCAGGTATTCTGTGAGAGCGTGGTCCTACCCCGGTCGAGCCGACCCCTTCGTGCTACATACATAACATAGCGTGGCTCTACCACGTAATAGGCGTCATTTTGGTAAAGAAAAGCGAGCTTGATTTTTTAATGGTGCCAGTAAATTCTCTAGAGATCTGAATCTCTTGTTGAATACTTTTGATTAAAATATAACAAACATCCGCTTTAGTCTGGGACTTTGGTCTCATATTGGTATTTATGGGATTTATGACAAAAATAATGTAGAATGCAACTAATTTACGGATTTTATCGCGTTTACCGTTACCTGTACAACTTATCAAAGTCTTTATCTCATGAACACAGTCCTCCCCATAGATTGCCTCATAGGCATGTGCCATAGTTGCCATAGTTGCCACGCTTGGCGAACGGGTTTCAACTGTAGTTTAATTTTAGTCATTATTAGGAAGACGCTGCAGCCCATCTCCTGATTTGTTTCCCTCTGTCGCCTCTTACGACACCCACGGGATGATATGGGCTAGTGGATGTTCCTACACCATTACTACACAGTCTGGATGACATTATAATACAATTATAGAGAGTTATTATAATTACAGGTTGTGATTGTTTTTATACGTGGTCTAGCCATGCTGCAGCTATATTAATAGTATAGTTGTAGGACGAATGGGTCGGCTCGACCGGAGAAGCACCACGCTCTCACAGAATACTAGCGTAAAATAGCAACTCAACACTGCTGTGTTTCGTATGGTGAGTGTAGAGAACCGGATACCCTTTTTACTGGAAAAGAGGCATTCCATCTTAGTCCTCACGGGTGACAAGGTATCAGCATTTTGATTTATTATCGAGGATAGATGTAGATGTCTATGGGTCAAAGCAACCACTTACCATCAGGTGGACTGTGTGCTCGTTTGTCACCCTATCCTATTAAAAAAAAGATATTCCATCTTAGTTCCCAGAAGTGATAACGCATCTGTAGCCGGCTTTGTTTGTAGTTAGCCGCAGGTGCCACTTACTGCGAGGTAAACTTTTTTTTTTCACAGCATAAGGGTGACAAATGAGCACACAGTCCACCTGACAGTACTTGCTGTGGCCCATATTTTTTTTTAGTTTTTTTAGACCGTAAGTTTGTTGACACTTTAGTTTAGTTTGTTTGCAGGTAATGACTGAGTGGCTCCATAAAGAAGCACTGACTGGCACTAACATCACATTACCAGCAAAAGACGACCCTAAAGTGACTACAATATGGTCTATAACTGTGGCGATATACTGCGTGGGTGGTATGATTGGTGGGGTCCTAACTGGAGTGATTGCTGATCGGTGAGTTTTATACTATATTGTACTTGGGAGAGTGTGCCCACAGGGTTACCAGGGCCTGGTATTGGGGATCCGGTTGCAGGTGGTTTAAAAACCGGATTTCTTTTATAGGATAGGGTGACAAACGGGCACACAGTCTACCTCATGGTAAGTGGTTGCTGTGGCCCATAGGCATCTACGTGTATCCTCGTTTGCGAATCAAAATGCAGATGCGTTGTCAACCGTGAGGACTAAGATGGAATGCCTTGTATCCAGTAAAAATGGTCTCCGGTTCTCTACACTCACCATACGGAACACAGCAGTGTTAAGCTGCTATTTTACACTGGTATTCTGTGAGACCGTGGTCCTTCCCCGGTCGAGTTGACCCATTCGTGCTACAACTATACTACTAATATATCTGCAGCATGGCTCTACCACGTATAAATTTGGATTGTTGGAAAAAGTTCGGTCTTCAGCCGGCAAACCGGGGAATGAAACTCAAAAGATTGTAATAAGCTAAATCATTTATTGTGCATTTATTAGAAGTTATATTTTTGGTAACTAACAACAGGGTAACACAGTCCACCTAAGGGTAAGTGGAAGCTATAGCCCATAAATATCTACATCTATTATCGATTAAAAACTAAAATGTTGATGCGTTTTCGCCATTAAAAGGGTTCTTCTTGCGAGGCATTCCACCTTAGTCGTCAGAAATGACATCGCATCTGTATCATTCTATATTTATAGTTGGTTGCACGTGTCCATGGACTACAGTACAGTTTTTACGTGGTAGAGCCAGCTGCAGCTATATTACTGGTATAGTTGTAGCACGAATGGGTCGGCTTAACCGGGGAAGGACCACGCTATCACAGAATACCAGCGTAAAATAGCAGCTTAACGCTACTGTGTTTCGTATGGTGAGTGTAGAGAACCGGAGACGCTTTTTACTGGAAACGTAAAATCACCCGTGAGTACATTCCATCTAGGTAATCGAGGATAGATGTAGATGTCTATGGGCCACAGCAACCACTTACCATCAGGTGGGCTGTGTGCTCGTTTGTCACCTTTATCCTATAAAAAATGCCATCTACCAACAGGTAGACTGAACGTTCGATTGTAACTTGAATTTTGTAATAAAATATAGACTGTTGGTTCTAATACTCGCTTCATACGCCTTGTTAATCTAATAATCAAATCAACAAGAAATAAACAAGTGATAAAATTAAAATTTTTGAATAACCGACTTCAATATAAATAAAATGAGAACATCGTCAATGTACAAGTATGTAGTCGTTTCTTGATTTTTAATTTCGTCGTCAATTAAATATGCATTATTAAGGATAACTTAAAAACTACTGGTCAGACCTTGAACACGTTTATATGGGACCATATGAGAAGCACCAACTTTCAAATAAAAAAGAATCATCAAAATGGGTTCGCCTAGAAAGAAGTTATGATTACACAAAAAAAAAACAGTCGAATTGAGTACCTCCTCCTTTTTGAAGTCAGTTAAAAGCGCTACGTATGTGACGCAAAAACCAAGCTAAGATCATGCTCAACTTATAAGAACACGCACTCACGTACACACATGCATCTAAAATCATTTGCAACCAACAACATGTTTTAAGGTGCATATGTGTGCGTCCAGCGGTGAACTTTTACAGGCTCATAAAGAAAGAAGAAAGATATCAGTGTGTTTTTTTTTAGAATAAGGGTGACAATCGAGCACACAGTCCATCAGATGGTAAGTGGATGATGTGGCCCGTAGACATCTACAACTATCCACGATTAAGAATCAAAATGCAGATGCGTTGCCACTCCTGAAGACTAAGATGGAATGCCTCGTTTCCAGTAAAAAGGGGTCTGTGGTTCTCTACACTCACCATACGAAACACGGCAGCATTGAGGTACTATTTTACGCTGGTATTCTGTGTGTGTGACTGTGTGTCAAGAGATAAGCATGGTTTTTGCGTCTCTTTAAGTGTACGCAGCGTTCCGTCTTTTTTTCCTACTTCAAAAAGGTGACGGTACTCAATTCCACTGTATGTTTTTTTATGTGTGTTACCTCATAACTTTTTACTGGGTAAGCCGATTTCGAGGATTCTTTTTTAATATGAAAGCTGGTGCTTCATATGTAGTCCCATATAAATTTGATGATGGTCTGACCAATAGTTTTTGAGTTATTCTTAATAATTTATATTGAAGTCGGATGTACAAAATGTTCAATTTTAATTTATTTAGTCTAAGGTCTAAAATTAAAAAAATAAAAGTGTTCAAAATGTTTCCTCCAGATTTGGCAGGAAAGGTGGCTTGCTGCTGAACAATGGCTTGGTGTTCCTGGCAGCAGCATTAGAAGGCAGTTCGAAGATCGCCAACTCCGCTGAACTCCTGATCTTGGGCAGGTATGCTACTACCATATAAGTTATGTTATAGTTGCCGGTGTCTAACTTGCCAAGATTCGATATGCGCAGAAGCAAAGACTTATTAAAAAAGATAGACAGGTTACACACTAACATTATTGTATTTTAAAGTGGTGCAGGTAGTACTATATATACGTACAGTTATTTATTATGACACGTTGCGCTAACAAAAAGAGACAAATGATAAGGCATACCTATTGTTAGAAAAAGATGAATATACATCATTAGTTGCGTATTGATAACAGCCGAGCGCTCATTGGTGCGAGCGCGTGACGTACCGATATGGAAAATGAACACACTAGCTAGCGTCAAAGTTTACACTAGCGGTTAGTGTTGAAATAATAAAACCAATTATTAATGAACATCTATATATATAACATATTCAAAATATTAATGAGACGTTTTTCTTGTCTCTAACAGTTGCCGTGTAATTTGTGCACCACCTAAAACACAGGAAGGCAATTTTGCCACGAATAACTAGAAGATTTACGCGCTGTAGCGAAGGTATAGTCGCGACGCGAGATCGTGCCCGACTGAATATGAGTCGGGCAATTACCTGACTTTCGTATTGCCATTTTAGAGCGAGTATGACGTATCTATACTTTTAAAAACATCTTAGCGCAGAAGTCGTTTTTAGATCTCTTTGGTAATCAAGCGAGCGCGGAAACGAAGTAGCATCGTTCCGAGCGCCCGATTGGTTGGCCAGTCGACTTCAGAGCGCGCGATTGGTTGGCCAATCGACTTCCGAGCGCGCGATTGGTACATCCCGTTGTACATGCACAAACTTTCGCCCACTACGCCAAAACCTTGCCAAGTTAGTTGCCGTATACTATATAAGGAGGTTTTTTGTCATAGTTTCCACTCTCGACAGGCGGGTTGGCAACCGCAGTTCTTTTATAATTTGGTAGTTATTATCAGAAAGATACTGCTGACCAGTTTCAGTTTCCCACAGTCGCCTCACGCGTCTGTTCGCTTACGTACTGTGAAATTTATGATGAACACTTAGCTCCTAAGTTACCATATACGTGGTAGAGCCATGCTGCAGTTATATTAGTAATATAGTTGTAGCACGAATGGGTCGGCTCGACCGGGGAGGACCACGCTCTCACAGAATACCAGCGTAAAATAGCAGCTTAACACTTCTGTGTTTCGTATGGTGAGTGTAGAGAACGGGAGACCCTTTTTACTGGAAACGAGGCATTCCATCTTAGTCTTCACGGGTGACAAGGCATCTGCATTTTGACTCGCAAACGAGTATAAATGTAAGATGTCTATAGGCCACAGTAACCACTTACCATCAGGTGGACTGTGAGCTCGTTTGTCACCCTATCCTATAAAAAAAAAACCACGACTTTTCATCCATATCCACTTCTGTATTCTGGATCTGAAGTCTACATAGAGCCAGTATAACAGGCTGTGATGCATTCCATATTAGTCCTTACAGAGGTGACTACGCGTCTTTTTTTAAATTGGCTGTAGATGTTCATGGACTGTGTAGCCACTTAAGGTGGACGTTGTACGTGTAAGTCCGTTTGTTAATTCAGTTTTATAAAAAAAAAACTAGCAGTTCCCCGCGACTTCGCTCGCGTGTAATTTAGGTTTTTAATTTTTTTGCATCATCATCATCATCATTACAGCCCTTCACAAGTCCACTGCTGAACATAGGCCTCCCCCAAAGAATGCCACAAAGCACGGTCCTGAGCCACCTGCATCCATCGACTTCCTGCATGTCTTACCAGGTCGTCACTCCATCTCGTGGGGGGACGCCCTACACTTCGCCTACCGGTACGAGGCTGCCACTCGAGAACCTTTCTTCCCCATCGGTTGTCGGTTCTTCGAGCTATATGGCCGGCCCACTGCCACTTCAGCTTACTAATCCGTTGGGCTATGTCGGTTACTCTGGTTCTACTGCGGATATACTCATTCCTAAGTTTATCACGCAGAGAAACTCCGAGCATAGCCCTCTCCATAGCTCGCTGAGCGACCTTGAGCTTCCTCATACGGCCAGCAGTGAAGGACCACGTCTCAGTTCCGTAAGTCATCACTGGCAACACGCACTGGTTGTACAATTTCGTTTTCAGGTTTTGAGGTATGTCTGACGAGAAGATGTGTCGTAGCTTCCCAAACGCTGCCCAGCCGAGTTCAATCCGTCGATTGACCTCTCGGTCGAAGTTGGACTTACCTAATCGGACTATTTGTCCCAGGTAACATACTCGTCAACAACTTCGAGCTTAGTGCTCCCAACAACTACCGGCATTGGTGTGACATGGACATTGAACATGATCTTTGTTTTGTCCATGTTCATCTTAAGACCTATCCGTTGGGAAACACTATCGAGGTCATTGAGCATAGTGCTTAGGTCCTCCAGCGATTCTGCCATAAGGACTATATCGTCGGCAAATCGAAGGTGAGTGATGTACTCGCCATTGATATTGATACCGTATCCTTTCCAGTCCAGAAGCTTGAAAACGTCTTCCAATGCAGCGGTGAAGAGTTTCGGGGATATGACGTCACCCTGTCTTACACCTTTCTGCAATTGGATAGGTTTCGTACTCTGATTCTGTACTCGGATAGCCATCGTAGCCCTACTGTACAAGCACTTCAACACTTCGATATACCGACAGTCAACTTGGCACCGCTGAAGGGACTGCAGCACCGCCCAAATTTCGACGGAATCAAAGGCTTTCTCATAGTCCACATACGCCAGACATAGTGGCAAATTGTACTCTCCGGACTTCTGTACAATTTGCCGAAGGGTATGTATGTGGTCTATGGTGCTAAAGCCCTTTCGGAAACCGGCTTGTTCGGGAGGCTGGAAGTCGTCAAGTCTGCGCGCGAGACGATTTGTAATGACTCTCGAAAACAGCACGTGGACGCGGCTCAGAAGGGAAATCGGTCTGTAGTTCTTCAAGAGAGCGTTGTCACCTTTCTTGAAGAACAAGACCACCGCACTTCTGCTCCACGCCTCCGGTGTAATGCCACCATGGAGGAAAAGGCAAAGAGCTTCTGAAGGACTTCAAGTACCGGTCTTCCACCCGCTTTCAGAAGCTCCGCTGTAATTCCATCCTCGCCTGGGGCCTTACCGTTTTTAAGGTGCTGGAGAGCCATTCTAATCTCGCTCAGACTGACGTCCGGGATATCTTCGGAATAGTGTCGGATGAGACTCGCTCTTGGATCGTTACTCACACTTGCGGGTGGCTTCAACGATGACGTGTACAGCTGCCCATAGAACCTCTCAATCTCACTCAAAATCTCAGGTGTCCCGGAAACGATGCTGCCACATTCTGTCTTCAGCTTTGACAGTTGGCTCTTTCTGGCAGACAGATCTCTGGCAAAGACTTTGGAGCCTTGGTTCCGCTCGATCGCTTCTTCAATACGAGCTGTATTGAAGTTGCGTAAGTCCCGCCGCATGCATTTGGAGATGCATGCGGCGGGACATGCATTTTTTTGCGTGGAACCCTAATAATTTTTCTAAAATAAAAGTAGCCTAAGTTACTCCTCATGAGATGAGATATCTGCTAGTGAAAATCCCGTCAAAGGTCCAGCCGTTCCGGAGATTAGCCAGAACAAACAGACAGACAAAAATGTTAAAAATTATATTTTTGTTATAAGTACCGTATATACTTTCATATGCATTTATTATAAAGCGGTAATTTTGACATTACAAACAGACACTTCAATTTTATTTATTAAGAGACGATTTAATATAGTATATAGATTTAATATAGTACCTACATTGAGTTATATGTACTACGTACTAGAGAAGCCATTCCGAACATTGACTATGTTGAACTGAACTGTAGTGCAATCCATACAAACTAAATATTGCGTAAATTGAAGATTTGTGAATTCCATAAAATAATTATTATTACATTTTATTTAGAAATATGTTTGTTTAGATGAAATTAAGATATTTTATATTAAATTCTTATATTTATTTTATATTAATATCTTATTTTATATCAAATTAAAGTCTTCGCGCATGCGCGACTACTACTCCCGCGCATGCGCGAACATAGAGTAGGACACAATTTTTGTTTGAAATGGCTTCTCTAGTACGTAGTACATATAACTCAATGAGTACCTAGCATAAGAGACGTTTATGAGAAAGACTGGAAGAACCTCATTGCCTTCCGACAGATCCCGACAGGGTGATGAAAATGATAATGACGATATGAAACACAATAAAACCGGTAAAAATAAATTTTATTAAAAAAAAATGTTTGTGTCAACTTATGTACGCACGTAGAAAGTTGTACTTCTTTAGCGTAACAAAAGGAAAAAAAACTTGAAAGACAATTACCCACTGAAGTTGTCGCTTTTAGGTGTCAGTGTGCGCGCGCATCGTAACAACTTCATGGTGTCGTTGTTAGGTGTCGGTGTGCGCGCGCATCGTAACAACTTCATGGTGTCGTTGTTAGGTGTCGGTGTGCGTGCGCATCGTAACAACTTCATGGTGTCGTTGTTAGGTGTCGGTGTGCGTGCACATCGTAACAACTTCATGGTGTCGTTGTTAGGTGTCGGTGTGCGTGCGCATCGTAACAACTTCATGGTGTCGTTGTTAGGTGTCGGTGTGTGCGCGCATCGTAACAACTTCATGGTGTCGTTGTTAGGTGTCGGTGTGCGTGCGCATCGTAACAACTTCATGGTGTCGTTGTTAGGTGTCGGTGTGCGTGCGCATCGTAACAACTTCATGGTTTCGTTGTTAGGTGTCGGTGTGCGTGCGCATCGTAACAACTTCATGGTGTCGTTGTTAGGTGTCGGTGTGCGCGCGCATCGTAACAACTTCATGGTGTCGTTGTTAGGTGTCGGTGTGCGTGCGCATCGTAACAACTTCATGGTGTCGTTGTTAGGTGTCGGTGTGCGTGCGCATCGTAACAACTTCATGGTGTCGTTGTTAGGTGTCGGTGTGCGTGCGCATCGTAAAAAATTCACTCTCATCATTTTTGCCAAACGCCCCAAAAGAAGTATAACTTCAAAACATATATTAGCTGGTAGTAACTTCTTTTCTGCATTCAAAGCAGTGGTGTGTGTATTTTATGGTCTGAAGGGTATAAAGAGTCAGTATAACTACATGATGCATTCCATCTTAGTCGCAGAGGTAACAACGCATACAGATGCGTTGTTACCTCTTCTACAGAAGAAAACAGATATACAAAAGAAGCTACAGAGCTTTCTTTGTTTGGAGTTAGCTGCAGGTGTCTACGGACTACAGTAGCCACTTTTTTTTACTTATTATAAGCCAGTGCTTGACCACAATCCCACCTGGTGGTAAGTGGTGATGCAGTCCTAGATGGTAAATCGCATCTTAGCGTAACAAAAGCCTATTCACTCTTGCCTTGAAGGCACCCAAATTGTATTCGGACGGAAAGATAGACGCCGGCAAATTATTCCACTCCTTTGCTTTACGCATTACAAAAGACGAAGCATATCTTTTGGTTACCATCAGGTGAGCTGTAGGTTCGTTTGTCACTTCAGTTTTACAAAAAAAATTTAAAAAGATCTGAAATCAAACTTAGAACTGCATCCCTTGACCTAAATTTTATAATTGTGTCAAACATTTAATAACATCGATAAATTCATTCGAAATTACACAAAAAGTCATTAATATGAAGGTTATAAAGATTGTATTCAATCTATTACTTTAAGACCACTACAAGAGCTAAGTGACCTCGAATGACGCACGCACACATTTACACAATTTCTATAAACCATCAGAGTACTATTATGTCTTTATTCTGTGCATCAGGCCTCGGCCGGCACTGTCGGTACACGGGCGTTTACGCACACATTCACACGTATTATGTTCAGAAATAAGAATATGCGATTTAAAAAAAAATCTATTTATTGGACTAAAAAAATTAAAACACTATTACGTTAACATGTTGCTTGTAAAATAATCTGACATAAAATCAGAATGATTGCATGTATATTAGTTTATTAGTATGGTACTTAATCGTTAAAAGAAATTTTTAGACATATGTTTGTGATTTTTATTCTAACGTATTAAATTATCATGTTTGCAACACACTATGTAACTAGCATATGTCCTGAAAAATATCAATTATTTTTCTGATTTTGTTTACTGCTGTGGCTCAATATATCGCGTGAGCCATGCTGCAGCTATATTAGTAGTATAGTTGTAGCACGAATGGGTCGGCTCGACTGCGGAAGGACCACGCTCTCACAGAATACCAGCGTAAAATAGCAGCTTTACACTGCTGTGTTTCGTATGGTGAGTGTAGAGAAGCGGAGACCCTTTTTACTGGAAAAGAGGCATTCCATCTTAGTCCTCACGGGTGACAACGCATCTGTATTTTGCTTCATGATATTGAGAATGTGTCACAGCAACCACTTACCATCAGGTGGACTGTTTGCTCGTTTGTCACCCTATCCTATAAAAGAAAAAGCTGACGAGATCTCTTTAACGCCAAAATTATTTTATTTATACATTTGGACAAGCTTTAGTCTTGATTGCTCAAGGGAAAACGGCGCGCTCGGCTACTCATAGAATGCAAGTAGGGTGGATGCTCCTATTACCAGCCTTTTAGTACCAGTTTCAACTTTAAAAATTCCTGCTATTTGATTTAGGACACAATATTTTTTTAAATTTGTTTTAATCGATATGTTATTTATTCACAAATGTAATAAACATTTGCTTACAATCATATTATTTCAAGAATAATTTCAAAAACGACGATAAGCAAAAAAAGGCGTTATGGCTCAAATTCCAGCCACCCTGAACCAAAAGTCGTTCTTTTGTGTACCTAATGTCAGCATAGCTTAGGGTTATGCCTTTTGAGTTTTTGGTAGGTACCTATTGTAGGTAAGTTTTAGAGGCACAGTAATAAATTGGTAACAATTATTGATAGAATCAGGCGTTACTTTGCGGAAATCCATTATAATGGGGTTGTTATAAACTAATTTGCTTAATTCCGCGTAAAGAAAGAAAATGATGTGTTCTGCCCAGTTTTAAGGGCAGGACACATCAGTTTTACTTTGCGGCCAGCTTCCGCAGAGTCTACTTCACCTGGGGATGCCTCGTGTAGAGGCGAAACACGTGTCGTATTTTCGAGAGTGGTGTGTCGTGCCTAGTGTGGTGGTGCTGGGGATGGTAGTGCTGGGATTGACGACGACGGGTATAGTGCGCGCGATTGAGGGAGGGTGGGAGGTCCCCTTAAGGGTGGGAGGTCCCCTTGAAACTAGGCAGGACACATCATTTTCTTTCTTTACGCGAAATTAAGCAAATTAGTTTATAACAACCCCATTAATTGGTAACAAGTTTTAATTTTGAATCTACATGTCACAAGCATGGAATATGTATTAAGGCAGACGACAACATTTTCTTTCATTTTTCTTTCCTTTTTAAAAACGTTACTCCTACACTAGGATTTTCTACTGTATCGTGGACAGTGGACAGTGGACGTGGCAGTTTACAAACATAGATTGCACAAGGACAAACATCCAGAACCAGAACTATTATTTGTAGGCCATAGAAATACTTGTTCCGTGCGGGCTTCGAACCCGCGGCACATGAATTGAAAAATTATTTTATTGTAATGTTTTTCTACTTACCTAACTGTGTTTTAGTTTAAACCAGTTCAATAAATTAAAGCAAATTATGAAAAAATATTATGTAGCACATTGATTTCTAATAATTTAATCATCCAAGTTTTTCAAATCATCATCGTCATTACAACCTTACATAATTCCATCACTGAAGAAGGAGGATGCCTCCTAGACTGCCGCAAAGCCTGGTCCTAAACCACATTCCTTGTCATGAGTTTTTCATTTATGTTCTAAGTTATAATTAGTATTACTAAGTTATAGTTTTTGCTTGTATATATATATATTGCTTGGTTTTTCTTCTTTCTCAAAAAATAATTGAATATGTACATAAGGAATGAGAAGATAGAAAAGCTAGTAGGTACATTCAATTTTAAAACATAGAGACGAATTGATCATAACTCTCTTAACTATAAAATAAGTTATGATCTAATTAATGGTATTTATTCCAGTTTATGACAGCATGTAGATATAATGATTTCTTATATTTACGCGAACACTACACATTGAATAAAATTAATTTTACGGATTTTATCGCGTTTAATTAAGTTATTTTATATTAGCGACGTTTCGGTTGCTTTCCAGCAACCGTGACCATAATTAAGTTATTTTATGACCACGGTTGCTGTAAAGCAACTTATTTGTTTCTTTTAGTGTCGCTCTTTCGTTTCGTCGAGTTTCTGATCACAACGATTCTAAAGCAGTTTTTATTTCAAAAAGGCATGAGGAAGGCCCATGTTCAAAAGTGGACTTTTGATGGTCTGTTATGGTAACGTATTTGTACAATTGTTTCAGATTGCTTATTGGTGTGAACAGCGGCTTAAATGCTGGCCTTGCGCCCTTATATTTAGCGGAAATATCACCCGTGTCACTGCGCGGTTCGGTACGTACATCAAAGTGTCTTCTTTAAATATTTTGTTTAGCTTTAAAAAATAAATATCTGTGAATAATCCATCTATCTAACGTTTAGTGGCGGTGTAAGAATATCCTCGTATACCACTCCAAGACATCCCTTGAAACTGAAACAGAAGATGGACAACAGCATGTTCCTGATAACAATTTAATTATATAATGTTTTCTTATATTTACTCGAACATTACACATTGAATAAAACTACTTTTAATGATTCTATCGCGTTTAATTATCTATTGTTGTTTTTTATTGATTCCCGACATTTCCGTCTTTTAGAATCCGTAAAAGTAGTTTTATTCAATATAAGTATAATATAAAACTGCGGCTGCCAATACAAGGGGTATTGGCAGCCGCAGTTTTGTTGTGCAACCATATCAATGCCCCCTTTCAAGTAATCTTGGGGAGGTATATGTTAAGTAATGGACTTTAATAGGCTGTTATGGATGGATGGAGTATCCATCACCCTCCTCATCTGATTACAATGTAGATGCTTCGAGGCAAGATTTTTGTTTTGCTAAGTCAGTGCGATTAATGATTACACAATCACCACTTACCATCAGGTGTAAAGTGGTCAAGCACTGGCACTAGCGGAAAAAAATAAATATTGTACGCTTAGGAAGCAACTAGAATGTAGGTCCCATCCGTTGCTAAATATTGTTTTAAAATGCGTGTTGGGTCTAATGTAGGTCTGCCCTAGCTATCAATATCCCATTTGTTTACTAATAAGAGAAAAATTCAACAGACTAAAAGCTACTTTTTTTGTACAGTTTTTTTTGTTTTAAAGTTTGAATCACCAGTTAGTTTTTTTTTTCTTTGGTTCACTCTCACTGCTAGTGCACTGGTATCTGAAAACCGTTGATGCTCTAGTCCATGCACTCATGCATTCAGTACACTTGCACCGCCAGTGCCCTGGTGCATGTATACTGCTGGTGCTCTCATACGTGCACTCTCTTTCAGTGCATCTTCAGTACACTTGCACCGCCTGTGCACTAATATTAGTACACTGCTGTTGCTCTCATACGTACACTTTCACTTTCAGTGCATCTTCAGTACACTTGCACCGCCTGTGTACAAATGTTAGTACACTGCTGTTGCTCTCATACGTACACTTTTACTTTCAGTGCATCTTCAGTACACTTGCACCGCCTGTGTACTAATATTAGTACATTGCTGTTGCTCTCATACGTACATTTTCACTTTCAGTGCATCTTCAGTACACTTGCACCGCCTGTGTACTAATGTTAGTACACTGCTGTTGCTCTCATACGTACACTTTCACTTTCAGTGCATCTTCAGTACACTTGCACCGCCTGTGTACTAATGTTAGTACACTGCTGTTGCTCTCATACGTACACTTTTACTTTCAGTGCATCTTCAGTACACTTGCACCGCCTGTGCACTAATATTAGTACACTGCTGTTGCTCTCATACGTACACTTTCACTTTCAGTGCATCTTCAGTACACTTGCACCGCCTGTGCACTAATATTAGTACACTGCTGTTGCTCTCATACGTACACTTTCACTTTCAGTGCATCTTCAGTACACTTGCACCGCCTGTGTACAAATGTTAGTACACTGCTGTTGCTCTGATACGTACACTTTTACTTTCAGTGCATCTTCAGTACACTTGCACCGCCTGTGTACTAATGTTAGTACACTGCTGTTGCTCTCATACGTACACTTTCACTTTCAGTGCATCTTCAGTACACTTGCACCGCCTGTGTACTAATGTTAGTACACTGCTGTTGCTCTCATACGTACACTTTCACTTTCAGTGCATCTTCAGTACACTTGCACCGCCTGTGTACTAATGTTAGTACACTGCTGTTGCTCTCATACGTACACTTTCACTTTCATTGCATCTTCAGTACACTTGCACCGCCTGTGTACAAATGTTAGTACACTGCTGTTGCTCTCATACGTACACTTTTACTTTCAGTGCATCTTCAGTACACTTGCACCGCCTGTGTACTAATATTAGTACATTGCTGTTGCTCTCATACGTACACTTTCACTTTCAGTGCATCTTCAGTACACTTGCACCGCCTGTGTACTAATGTTAGTACACTGCTGTTGCTCTCATACGTACACTTTCACTTTCAGTGCATCTTCAGTACACTTGCACCGCCTGTGTACAAATGTTAGTACACTGCTGTTGCTCTCATACGTACACTTTCACTTTCAGTGCATCTTCAGTACACTTGCACCGCCTGTGTACTAATGTTAGTACACTGCTGTTGCTCTCATACGTACACTTTTACTTTCAGTGCATCTTCAGTACACTTGCACCGCCTGTGCACTAATATTAGTACACTGCTGTTGCTCTCATACGTACACTTTCACTTTCAGTGCATCTTCAGTACACTTGCACCGCCTGTGCACTAATATTAGTACACTGCTGTTGCTCTCATACGTACACTTTCACTTTCAGTGCATCTTCAGTACACTTGCACCGCCTGTGCACTAATATTAGTACACTGCTGTTGCTCTCATACGTACACTTTCACTTTCAGTGCATCTTCAGTACACTTGCACCGCCTGTGCACTAATATTAGTACACTGCTGTTGCTCTCATACGTACACTTTCACTTTCAGTGCATCTTCAGTACACTTGCACCGCCTGTGTACTAATGTTAGTACACTGCTGTTGCTCTCATACGTACACTTTCACTTTCAGTGCATCTTCAGTACACTTGCACCGCCTGTGTACTAATATTAGTACATTGCTGTTGCTCTCATACGTACACTTTCACTTTCAGTGCATCTTCAGTACACTTGCACCGCCTGTGTACAAATGTTAGTACACTGCTGTTGCTCTCATACGTACACTTTCACTTTCAGTGCATCTTCAGTACACTTGTACCGCCTGTGCACTAGTGCTAGTACACTGCTGTTGCTTTTATACGTGCACTCAGATGCCACATGCATCAAGGTATATTAATTTATAGTTTCCACGCTTCGCAGGCGTGTTGGCAAGCATAGTTTTTTGGTTGTATTATTACAATGACGCTGCTGTTAACATAATGCTTTGTTTACAGATCGGCACCGTGTACCAACTCGTTATAACTATAACTATCCTGCTCTCACAAGTACTCGGTCTGGAGGCGATACTGGGAACCGAGTACGGCTGGCCATGGCTATTGGCCATAACTGCCCTACCGGCTGCCATACAATGCGCCACTTTACCACTGTGCCCTGAGTCGCCGAAGTTCTTACTGCTCAATAAGGGTCAGGAGTTGCACGCTCAGAGAGGTGAGTTGCACACACAGTTTCCTTTTTAAGATTAAGCGGGTAAAAAATCCACTACTCCCATATCGTCCCGTGGGTGTCGTAAGAGGCGACAGAGGGAAACAAACCAGGAGATGGGCAGCAACGTCTACCTAATAACACGTGGAAGAAACTGAGGTTATCTACGCGGGAGGCCTATGTTTAGCAGTGGAATTTTATAGGCTGTAATGACAACGGTAAAGAAGATCAGAGACAGTTTGTTATCTCTCATATTTCAGGACTAAGATGGAATGTGTCACAACTTGTAATTATGTCTTGTATTACCGTTATGACCGAAACCGTTTTTGCACGTGGTAGAGCCATGGTATAGTATAGTAGACCGGGGAAGGACCACGCTCTCACAGAATACCAGCGTAAAATAGCAGCTTAACATTACTTTGTTTCGTATGGTGAGTGTAGAGAACCGGAGACCCTTTTTACTGGATACGAGGCGTTCCATCTTAGTCCTCACGGGTAACAACGCATTTGCATTTTAATTGTTTATTGAGGATAGATGTAGATGTCTATGGGTCACAGCAACCACTTACCACCAGGTGAACTGTGTGCTCGTTTGTCACCCTATCCCATAAATGAAATACAAAAATAGACACAGAAATAGTTAGAGTGTTGTTTGAGTTTTATCGGGATCTTGACCGTGGAATGGAAATGAGTCTTGATACGTAAAAGTGGTGCGTTTTTGTGTATTAAATGTATACGCATGTGAACTATTAGTGGAAACGTTGACATAAGTGCTCCGATCGTGGAGTGAACCCCAAGATAATGATTCCGCTTTAGTGCCTTGAGATATTATTGTCTGAACTATCTGCTGGCTCAGGCACTCGACGAAATCCCCCAGAAGCTTCGCAATGTGACCCTTCAACATACTGTGAAGATATTTTGAAATTAATTGTAATAAATCATAATTTTTTATTACTTGATACTGGCAAAAGTACAAACAGTACGAGCCATTACCTTTCCAGACGAACTCTTAAAAAGAAAATAAGCCCTACCACACAAATAAAATAAATAAAGCCTTTATAGATTTCTTACACGAGTTACAATCACATGTTTTTGTTTTTAAGTGCGTATATTATATATTTTTAATTTAATGTTTATTTATGTGTAAATGTTAATTTATTATATTTTATAAAGTATAAAAGAAATATATGTGACATTTATTAATTGAATACCAAAAGTTATAGAAAAAAAATTACATTTGTTTATTACTTGTATAAGGACCGCTTAAAGCGGTAAAAGCCGCCTCCAAATTGTTCCATTCGTGTAGAAATTCTGGGCCACAATATTCCAGCAACTGCTGTAATATTATCGCTCTGTCTTTTAAAAAATCTGCCTTTACGACGTTTCGTCTCTTGGCACCCAGTTTGTCACAGTCTAACTCTGAATGTGACCATGCCATCTCCACTTTATTAGCTTACCACATAGTACCGTTACTGCCTATTAAAGTCCAAGGCTCAACACCGGCCTCCCTATTTGTCATTGTTGCCACGCTTGCAATGCGATGTTTTCCTTCACCGCCGAGCACATGGTAAATCAGTACTTAAATTTGCAATTAACACTTTGATTGGCGCCCACGGGGTAAATATAAATAAATCAACTAAAAGTGTAACAACCTGTACTACAAAATCCCACTCCTTTATAGCCATATTACAGATAGTGGTCAATTTAATCCCAGGATCGAACCCGGGTCGCGTTCTGTGGAATTTACAGCGAGCGCTTACCCCCTGAGCTACCACGGCTCTTCTTAAATTCTTCTAAAACCCAGTAAATTAAAATTTGACTTCTTATTTTTTTGTGGAACTAAGAAATAATTTATTTTTATTCTCAGCTCTAAACTGGTTGAGAGGTGATGTTGCTGTGCACGGAGAGATGGAAGAAATGCACCAGGTATTCTATATTTTAATAGCTCGCCTGGTAGAAGTTATTCTGCCCTTTCTAGTAGGCGGCGCGATTTCGTTGCGGGCTTTTTTGTAGTGTAAATAAATAATAAATAAATAAATGTCACGTCATTGCCACTTTCGGAAATCATATTTAGTTATAAACTAAGTACAGTGGATTTCATTTATTACGACCTTGGTTGTAGCGACCATTTACCTAAAGCGACGTTTAATTTAACTCCCTTGAATTTAGAGCATATTTTAGTACAAAATTCATGTGGCTATAGCGACTTTGGATGTAACGCCGAGTTCGGGTGTAGCGACTGTTTTTAATGAATCATTTGTAACAAATTTCTAGAAATGTCATGCAGATATTGCGACCAGAGTCGGCCGCCAAAGACACAAAGATTTCTTTCTTTCACAAACATTTCTTATCTTTTGTATACATCCACACAGATGGTCAGCAAGTGTGGAGACCTTTACCTTTTGTTTATAGATATCAGCTAAGTAGGTAGGGAAGCGTGTACGTTTCGGATTCGGAGTTAAATTTATGGTTCAGTTACAAAGTGATATTCTGGGTAGCAGCTGTAATGTATTAAATTTGTTACCTTTGCCTGTAACGACTTCCGGATATAAAGACGAAAATAGAGTGGTTCCTTCATCGTCGTTATACCCGAAATCCACTGTACATAGTTCTACTAAGTACTTAATCTTCATTAAATTTAGGCAACTCGGAGGTAACTCAGCTTTTACTTAAATTGGACGAAGAGTCCATGCGTGCATGCATTCGTGCGTGTGTGCGTATGTGTGTGTGTGTGCGCGTGTGCTTGTTCCGGTTATACATGGAGATGGTTTTTTACTACGCGTTCATTTCGAGTTTACCGTCGTCGACCGTTATGACGTCACAGCTGACGGTACCGTAGACAAAACTATTACTGTAAGTGTTTTAATTGTAAGAAGTTCAATTTTTAGTTTGTTGCCCTGTACAGAGAATTGGAGAGCATGCAAGTAGATAAAATGCATATTATTGAATAATTTATTTAGTTAGTAAAAAAAATAATAATACTGAATAGAAACGTGTCCGATAACATAAAATATTTTTATTATAATTTTATTATACATTTTAAATTAATTATTGACGAAGGCGCATCGTGAGTGTCGAGAACAGGAGACCCTTGTTATTGGAAACGAGGCATGCCATCTTAGTCCTCACGGGGTACCACGCATATGCATTTTGATTCTTAATCGAGGGTAGATGTAGATGTCTATGGTGCACAACATCCACTTACCATCTGATGGAATGTGAGCTCTATTGTCTTTATTCTATAAAGAATATTCAATAGCAAGACAATGACACCAATTACATTGATTGCCTCTTTTGTCTAGTGGTCGTAAATGCGACTGATGATCTTGAGCACCCGAGTTGGAGACCCGGGTCGGATCAAAGTAAATAATTGGGTTTCTCTGACAAGAAATTCTCAGTAATAGCCCAGAGTTAGGAAGTTAGTGGCATTTCATCCCCGTGCCTCGACGTAAAGCCGTGCTTCTGCGTTCGCTCTCTCTGGTCGTGTCTGCTTGCCGGCCCATCGGACTATGAGAGTGACGGAGTAGAGATTGCACTATAATCCTGTCCTGCGTCGATGGCTAGTCTCCGTTAAGACCGGCCGCCGTGACTGAAATTCGGTCTGGAAAACGTTATTATTATTATTACTAGCTGTGCCCCGCGACTTCGCCCGCGTGGAATTTATTACGATTAGATTTTATGGATTTTAATTTTTTTTGGCGGAACTCTAACAATTAAAATAAAATAAAAGTAGCCTAAGTTATATAATATTAGCTATCTGCCAATGAAAGTCCCGTCAAAATCGATCCAGCCGTTTCGGAGATTAGCCGGAACAAACAGACAGACAGACAGACGGACAGACAGACAAAAATTTTAAAAATTGTGTTTCGTTATATGTATCGTATATACTTTCATATGCATTTAGTTAAAAACTGTTATTTTGATATTACAAACAGACACTTCAATTTTATTTATTTGTATACATTACTATCAAAAATTCTCCATAGGAAGCGGAGAAAAACAAAGTGAGCAAAAAAGTGACGTTCCGCGAACTGGTGAGCAACCGGCAGCTGCGGCAGCCTCTGCTGATCGCCCTGGTGGTGATGCTGGCCCAGCAGCTCTCCGGGATCAATGCGGTCATCTTCTTCTCGACGGATATCTTCATGAAGGCCAATTTAAACGAGAGCCAGTCACAGTACGCTACTTTGGGTGAGTAGTTTTTCGGACTACCCTCCGATTTTAGTAAGAGTATCCGTCATCCCGTTTCGTCCTGTGGATTTCGTAATAAACGATTTATGATTATGGAATGTGTTAGTAGATATGGGTAGTACCACTTTTACCCTATGGTGGTAGGCATGCACGGGTTTTCTGCCACCAGGGCGGCGCCACTTAAAAATGAGGTGTAATATTTGACAGAAAAATGTAAAAGTAAATGTTTCTTTTTGACTATTAGTTATATTTTATACTAGCTGTGCGCCGTGACTTCGCCCGCGTGTAATTGATGGTTTTAATTATATTGCTCAAAACCCTAATTCTTCTTCTCAAATATAAGTAGCCTAAGTTACTCCTTAGAACATCGGCTATCTGCCAGTGTCCAGTCCCGTCGAAATCGGTCCAGCCGTTTCGGAGATTAGCCGGAACAAACAGACAGACAAAAATTTAAAAAAATGTGTTTTTGTTATAAGTACCGTATATACATTCATATGCATTGAGTAAATAGCTCTTACATTACAAACAGACACTTCAATTTTATTTATTTGTATAGATTAATTAGTATTCTGAGTGTCCGTGGTCCTTCTCCGGTCGAGTCGACCCATCCGTGCTACAACTATACAATTAATATAGCTGCAGCATGGCTCTACAACGTTTAAATGTGTACGTAGATGTGTTCAGTACACCCTCATTTCTGTCAAAGTTGTTATTGAAGTCGGTCTTTACTTTTTCAGTAGTTTAATCTTGTTAGAGAGTTATGTAGCATATAGGCCACCAAGCTGCTCTAGTACCTGTGGGCAGACTTAACCTTTTTTTTAGAAATATTTTTATTCCTCAGAACGTATCTTTGTGTTCCTTTACTCGTCGGTGAAGGAAAAATGCTGAGGAAATTTATGCCGACTGGGATCGTACCCTGGTTGTTAGGGTGCTGTGAAATTTATTTTTTTTCCATTTTTTTCAGGCATGGGCGCCATGAATGTTGTGATGACGGTGATCAGTTTGGTGCTGGTGGAAATAGCCGGGAGGAAGACCTTACTCCTCACTGGGTTTTCGGGCATGCTTGTCTGCTCCATATCCTTGTGTATTGCGAGCTTATACGTGAGTTGTGTTCATATAATTGTGTAATAGTAACCTCTATTATTGTGGTGTTATTTATATTTAAGATAATCATCAGATCCCATTTATTTTAAGAATTTTTCGATTTCTGAATAAAACTATATAAGGCCGGTATAGACCGCGGACCGGGCAGTATTGAATTCATAGATAATACACTATGTATTGGCTATACAAGCGAATACTTCGAAGCTATACAACTGCGAACTAAAGTGATCAGTAGTACATTTGTGGTTTGTTATTAGTGTGGTTTTAGATTGTGATTAGTTTTCTGTAATTAAAGTGTCAATTTTGGTAATTCACTTGTCAGTTTTTAATTGTCTCGAACCCCAAGCTCGTAACATTACCGTTTAACCTTTAAGTATGTCCTTCAATTAATTATAAAAATCTTTTTCAACAGACTGACCTTGTGTGGGTGTCGTACCTGTGCATAATTCTGGTGATACTGTTCGTGGTGATGTTTGCGGTGGGACCGGGTTCCATTCCCTGGTTCCTCGTCACTGGTGAGTGTTACTTGACCCACTGTTGGGACTCTATCCCAACGATTTACTTTAAAGTAGCAATGTACTGGTGTGTATGTGGTATTTAGACAATTACGTGTATTTAATTTTTAAAAGCTGCAGTTAATTTTTAAAAGTTATCTCGATGACATAATTGTAGTTTTGAATTAAAACTAACTAATAATCGTTACTGTTAAAACCTATTTAAAATTTACCGTTTTTTGGATCGCCTCTTGGTCTTAGAAAATCTGGACAATAGTTTTGCAGCAACGTTTTGCAGCAAAGAGCAACCCAATTTGTAACAGAAACAGAAGCTTTCTTATTCTATATAGATTATAAATAATAGTTATTGAAAGCCATTCATGTGTTTAGTTACCACTGGTTCGAAAAAAACATCTGTCCTGGGAAGAACCGCAGAAAAAAAAATAACAGCTTACAATCATGCACCTATATTACTTACTACACTACTTTATGCAGTGATTAGGGTCTACTCTAAGTAACGTCAAGTCATGTTAACGTCTATCCGAGTGTTTGTAAATATTGTTGGAATCTACTTTGTAGGCGGTCAAAAATGAAATTAATTCACTAACATTCCAAATAGGTGGTTTAGACTCTTTTAGATTTTTCAGAGAAATTGCTTTAAGTACATGCTTAACGAGAACGTGTGAGCGCTTAGATGTGTTGAATTTTCAACGTTACACAGAGTAGCAACTACAGACTTATGTTACTGTACAACTGTACTCAACGTTACACAGAGTAGCAACTACAGACTTATGTTACTGTACAACTGTACTCAACGTTACACAGAGTAGCAACTACAGACTTATGTTACTGTACAACTGTACTCAACGTTACACAGAGTAGCAACTACAGACTTATGTTACTGTACAACTGTACTCAACGTTACACAGAGTAGCAACTACAGACTTATGTTACTGTACAACTGTACTCAACGTTACACAGAGTAGCAACTACAGACTTATGTTACTGTACAACTGTACTCAACGTTACACAGAGTAGCAACTACAGACTTATGTTACTGTACAACTGTACTCAACGTTACACAGAGTAGCAACTACAGACTTATGTTACTGTACAACTGTACTCAACGTTACACAGAGTAGCAACTACAGACTTATGTTACTGTACAACTGTACTCAACGTTACACAGAGTAGCAACTACAGACTTATGTAACTGTACAACTGTACTCAACGTTACACAGAGTAGCAACTACAGACTTATGTTACTGTACAACTGTACTCAACGTTACACAGAGTAGCAACTACAGACTTATGTAACTGTACAACTGTACTCAACGTTACACAGAGTAGCAACTACAGACTTATGTTACTGTACAACTGTACTCAACGTTACACAGAGTAGCAACTACAGACTTATGTTACTGTACAACTGTACTCAACGTTACACAGAGTAGCAACTACAGACTTATGTTACTGTACAACTGTACTCAACGTTACACAGAGTAGCAACTACAGACTTATGTTACTGTACAACTGTACTCAACGTTACACAGAGTAGCAACTACAGACTTATGTTACTGTACAACTGTACTCAACGTTACACAGAGTAGCAACTACAGACTTATGTTACTGTACAACTGTACTCAACGTTACACAGAATAGCAACTACAGACTTATGTTACTGTACAACTGTACTCAACATTACACAGAGTAGCAACTACAGACTTATGTTACTGTACAACTGTACTCAACGTTACACAGAGTAGCAACTACAGACTTATGTTACTGTACAACTGTACTCAACGTTACACAGAGTAGCAACTACAGACTTATGTTAAAGTATTGTATTGTATGTCAAGCCAGGGATTAAATATAAATCTGATAAAAATTGCGCTAGTTGTGAACTCATGGGGTTTTTAGGGTAAACCTTTTTGTTATAAGACCATGAAACCGAGCGTATCCAAGCGGCCACATAAGTTTTCAAAGTAGACTTTCGCCATAAATTTTTAAGTTACTTGAGTTGTTCAGTGTTCCATGTTTCTACCTTCTTGGACCACCCACACATTTCCATACCTCGAGTATGATGTTCTCCACATTCGTGGGTGATTCTAAAGGTTTTTCAATGACATCGATGCTGCGAGTGCCCGAACTTTGAGGTCCGCGCGCCAGAATACCTTTTCCAATCTGGGAACGACTAACAGAAATATTCCTGTGGATTGATTCAGGTGGGCTAAGACTTTGGGTACTGAAAAGATTTTATGAAACTACCCACGCAAGCGGGTAGTTCCATGGAGTACTGAACGTGTCGTGAAATAGGAATTAAGTATCTCTCACATCTCGCGATACATAATTGTACACTACATGAGCCATCTTCGATGCAAACACATCTATTATCGGGGTTCTCCATTTTGCAAACATCGTCTCCACACAAGATGGCAGTAGATAACGCGATAAGTGATCGGCATGGTTGTTGTATTTGCCGGGGATATAGTGTATGCTGAAATGTATTTGATGTCGATCCAGCAAATTCAAAATGTTGTAGGTTATTTTCCATAGTTTTGATATCGTATCCTTCTTTTCGAAAATGAGCGACTGCAATCTTGTTGTCGCTCTGTATAAGGATCGAGCTGTGACGCAATAATTGGACTTGACTTTGAAGAGCATAAAGTATGGCCAACATTTCTTTTTGAATGCAATGAATACCTTGCTCTTCCTCTATCCAAGTGCTCGAGAGAGCCATATTGTTCAATCTATGTAAGCTACATGAATTGCTACTAGATGAACTATTACTGCTGCTTCAATACCTTTTACGAGCATCTCCACTTGAACCAGCCACAGGCTCCATAGCCATGGGAACCGAAGTATCAAAATTATCCATTACTGTAATGAAGTTACGTACCGTAAATTTATAAAGTCAACTATTTTTTCATTAAAATATTTCATCAATTTGTTTAAACCAACAATAATTAAAATAAGGAGTTTTAACTTTTTATACTACAACTAGTTGGCCAAGCAGACGTTGTTCTGACCTTTCCGACGACTCAAGTTGGACCAAACTACACTGAGTGAAATCAGTTTAGTAATTTAGGAGTTCATCGCGGAAAAACAATGTGACACGTAATTTTTATAAATAAAGCTTATTAAACAATGTTCAAATTAAAATATTTACATTAAAATTTTTCATCAATTTGTTCAAGGCATCATAATTAAACGTAGATAGTTTAACTTTTTATACTACAATTATTAACCAATGTACAAATTAAAACATTTACATTAAAATATTTCATCAATTATTTAAACCAACAATAGTAATTAGGTAAATGGAGGTACTTTTTTTTTAACAGTGGTAGAGCCACGCGGCAGCTTTTGCTGTCGCACGGATGGGCCGGCTCGAACCGGGGTGGTACCACGACCTCACAGAATACCAGCGTGAAGTAGAGGTTTAGCTCTGCGTTTCGCTTGGTGAGTGCAGGTGGCCGGAGGCCCTTTTTACTGGAAATGAGGCATTCCGTCTTAGTCCTCACGGGTGACAACGCATCTACATTTTGATTTGTAACAGAGGATAGATGTAGATGTCTATGGGCCGCAGCAACCACTTACCATCAGGTGGACTGTGTGCTCGTTTGTCATCCATATCCTATAAAAAAAAACTTTAACTTTTTATACTAGAATTTTATGTAATGTACACATTTAACTGGTACTTAAATGTAAATATAGCTAATGATTCGAACGGAAAATTCCGTTTTAAGAGAAAGTTAACATGTTCAGTACCTTACCGGTGGTTAAATTAGTTGTATTCACAATTTCACAATTTCTTGGGATTCAACTATTTTTACTACTAACATAATCACGCCTATGAGTAAAAAATCGGTGCTACACATTTTACGAACTAAAAATGGCGACCTCGATCACCAGGTGACGCCACTGGACCGGATATCACATCGATAAAAGTAAGAAGACTGATAAAAACGATTGAACCGGAAATGCTATCTCTCACTGTAAAGCTTCCAGTGACTGTCAAGTGATTTAATAAGGAAACAAGAACAGTTTAAAAAATACTTTGCTTCTTCTTCTGCTTACGTAATACTTGAAAAGCCCCCCCCCCCCCCCATCTCCTTGTTTGTTTCCCTCTGTCGCCTCTCACGACACCCACTAGATGTGATAAAGCGTAATGGATATGTAGTAGATATATTTAAGCTGGTTATTCTGCTCTTTCTGGTTGGTGGCGCGATAACTTTATTTGAACACACAATTTTTCTACAGATTTATTATATATATTAACATGTTAAAACATATTCTAGAACTTTTCAACCAAGCGGCTAGACCGGTTGCGTCTTCGGTAGCCGTGACTGTCAACTGGACGGCCAACTTCATTGTTGGACTCAGTTTCTTGCCTCTGTCCGTAAGTATAGCTTCCCTAATATTAATGTAACCGTATGCTGAAGTGTTTGGGCCAAAACTGCAAATATTTGTGCAAAACATTGTGTATTTTTTACTGGATGATGTACCGTCTACCGATAGGAAAAAAATTGGGTGTAAATACAAACAGTTTCTACTGAAAAAGATTTTTTTTAGAACACACGTGAACACATGGTGGTAAGTGGATGCTGTTTCCCCGTAGCCCATACATCTCCTCCTCGATTGAGACTTCTTAAGAAGAAATAAATAAAACGAAGAAATCGTGGTCATCGTCATGATCACGATCACATGGTCATCGTCATGTTCATGATCATCGTCATCGTCATCGTCATGATCATCGTCATCGTCATCGTCATCGTCATGATCATCGTCATCGTCATGATCATCGTCATCGTCATGATCATCGTCATCGCCATGATCATCGTCATCGTCATGATCATCGTCATCGTCATGATCATCGTCATCGCCATGATCATCGTCATCGTCATGATCATCGTCATCGCCATGATCATCGTCATGTTCATGATCATCGTCATCGTCATCGTCATGATCATCGTCATCGTCATGATCATCGTCATCGTCATGATCATCGTCATCGTCATGATCATCGTCGTCGTCATGATCATCGTCATCGTCATCGTCATGATCATCGTCATGTTCATGATCATCGTCATCGTCATCGTCATGATCATCGTCATCGTCATCGTCATGATCATCGTCATCGTCATGATCATCGTCATCGTCATGATCATCGTCATCGCCATGATCATCGTCATCGTCATGATCATCGTCATCGCCATGATCATCGTCATGTTCATGATCATCGTCATCGTCATCGTCATGATCATCGTCATCGTCATCGTCATGATCATCGTCGTCGTCATGATCATCGTCATCGTCATCGTCATGATCATCGTCATGTTCATGATCATCGTCATCGTCATCGTCATGATCATCGTCATCGTCATGATCATCGTCATCGTCATGATCATCGTCGTCGTCATGATCATCGTCATCGTCATCGTCATGATCATCGTCATGTTCATGATCATCGTCATCGTCATCGTCATGATCATCGTCATCGTCATCGTCATGATCATCGTCATCGTCATGGTCATCGTCATGATCATCGTCATCGTCATGATCATCGTCGTCGTCATGATCATCGTCATCGTCATCGTCATGATCATCGTCATTGTCATGATCATCGTCATCGTCATCGTCATCGTCATGATCATCGTCATCGTCATGATCGTCATCGTCATCGCCATGATCATCGTCATCGTCATGATCGTCGTCATCGCCATGATCATCGTCATGATCATGATCATCGTCATCGTCATCGCCATGATCATCGTCATGATCATGATCATCGTCATCGTCATCGTCATGATCATCGTCATCGTCATCGTCATGATCATCGTCATCGTCATCGTCATGATCATCGTCATCGTCATCGTCATGATCATCGTCATCGTCATGATCATCGTCATCGTCATGATCGTCGTCATCGTGATGATCATCGTCATCGTCATTCATGATCATCGTCATCGTCATGATCATCGTCATCGTCATGATCATCGTCATCGTCATGATCATCGTCATCGTCATGATCATCGTCATCGTCATGATCATCGTCATCGTCATGATCATCGTCATGATCATCGTCATCGTCATCGTCATGATCATCGTCATCGTCATCGTCATGATCATCGTCATCGTCATGATCATCGTCATCGTCATGATCATCGTCATCGTCATGATCATCGTCATCGCCATGATCATCGTCATGATCATGATCATCGTCATCGTCATCGTCATGATCATCGTCATGATCATCGTCATCGTCATCGTCATGATCATCGTCATGAACATCGTCATCGTCATTCATGATCATCGTCATCGTCATGATCATCGTCATCGTCATCGTCATGATCATCATCATCGTCATCGTCATCGTCATGCTCATCGTCATGATTTTCGTGATCGTCATCGTCATCGTCATTGTCATGATCAAGTCGATGACGCAATTTTAAGTGCTCAGCAGTGAAGGAAAACATTCTGATAAGAAAAAAAGACGTGAAGTTCGCCAACACGCATTGGGGCAGCGCGGCGGGCTTTTCCTTGCCCTTACAGAAATCAGAGCAGGCCCTGTGCCCTGCAGTGGGCCCTATATAGGATAATAATAATAACTTTTTAACTTCATCCTATTTTTGAAGTCGGTTAAAAACCCTAAAACCTCTCTTCTACCTTTTAGCTCGTCCTCGGCATGAACACCTTCATAATCTTCGCGGTTCTCCAGTTCCTGTTCATCGTGTTCATAAGCTTCAAGGTCCCGGAGACCAAGAACAGGACGGTGGAGGAGATCACCGCCATGTTCCGACAGCAGATGTGATCACCGTTTCCATAAGTTTAGTCCAGAATAATATGCAAAGTCATCACCAAGTAATTAAAATAGTCTTAAATGCTATCCAACAATACATGAACAAACAGTTTTCTATTGTTAACTGCAAGTTAAATGATGAGAGTATGAAATGACTTTAGGGTTGCCAACATTAATAAGTAGATGTAACACATTGTCACAGTTAAAAGAGGCAAAGGTGGATACGGACACAGCCTGTTCTGCCAATACCTGTACCAAAAAAAAAGTTATTTATAACTCCATTTCGTCCCGTGACTGTCGCAAAAAGACAATGTATTTCAAATCCACTCTACACTGCCCATGTTTAGTAGTGAACTGTTAAAACAGACCGATAAAGATGAACTGTAGCAAAAATAATGTATTTATTTATAACTGTAATTATTTATAACTTCGTACGCGTTTCTTGATATATTAACAAAGTTTTCGTATGTGCGAAAGAAAAAAACATCAAAAAGATCGCAAGCAAAAATATGCTAATGCAATCGTAATAAATTCCACGCGGGCGAAGTCGCGGGGAACAGCTAGTATTATATTTTTTTTAATCTGAAGAAAAAAGTTGGCAAGTATCCTAGTTAACCTCGTTTAATGAGTATCAACTTTGTTGCTTTAATATATAAACTCAATGTTAGATAAAATATTTATCGACAGTGAAATAAAAAACTTTTGATTAAACTAAAATAAGTATAAGATTTGTAAACGCTTATACGCTCAGTAAGTTCCAGGTAGGAGGCTTTTTAGGATATAATATTTTGTTCAACGCTGTTAGTTAACAAACACAACAGATGGCGTTGTTATATATTATAATATAAAATATATTACAATAACACTGCGCATTTACTGAAGATTAATGAAGAATTTACTTTCATATCTTCTTTCATCACAATCAATAAAACAGTTGAAACCACTTACAAATGTAAACAAACAAGATTTACTCCTTTAATTGTGTAGGATTATTTGTGATTAACTTTTAATTAAGAACAAATTATTTAATGTACTTAATTTTGTGTAACCCGTAGTCAAAGTGATCTGTCCAGAGGAAGAACTTTTTTTAGAAATAAGTATTAATTTTTATAACGTGAATTTGTAACGACTTGGCTTAAATTGAAATAGAATTAAACTAAGAATATAATTTAAAAAAAAATAAGAATATATATAAAATGTGAAAACCATTAAAGGTGTAACCACGCTTAAGCCAATGCACGGCATATATGTAAAAACATTGCAGGACAACAACCGAAAGACGTGGTTATTCTATTTTACGATGAAGGTTTGATGCAATGTGTATGTGCACGGCTACATACACATTGTGTTAGTGTGCGTAGGCCTCGGGAGCGCTCAGTCACGATCGCGAATCGAATGAATCGCAGTTACATAGAGTTTTGGCGGGAACTTGACCGGCGGCTGTTTGCTGCTCCTGTATTATTGTTTAAATAATGGTTTGAAGTAAAGTTTGATATGTAAAAGTGGTGCGATTTTGTGTATTAAATGTCTGCACGTGTAGACTTAATAGTGGATATATAATATGGAAACTGTGAAACAAGTGCTCTGATGGAGATGTGATTCTCAAAATATCTGCCAAAATATATTCTGTCTGCTTAGGCGCCTTGCGATACCATCGCCAACCGTCAGCTGTCTGCTGGCTCAAGTTGCCGTCAAAATCTCCCAAGGGCTGCACAATGTGACGCATCAACATATTGTGAAGCAGTATACTATGAAGGGTAATTATTATAATATATTGTAACTTCAGGCTCAGAAGGGCTAGATCCCAGAGCCGTAAAGCCAGTTATTAAGAAGAAGCAGTTACACACACACAAACGCGCCTGTCGGTACACGCCACTACTACAATCAAGGCGAAACCTTCATCGTGGAATAGAATAACTATACCAGGGAACATTTGTAAATATGTTGCAAAGTAAATGCAACAAAAAAAACTTTAAAAACACGCAAGAAATTTCAATTTAGAATTATACTTTTAAATAATTACTGCTAAATTACACTTTCGATAGCAACATTTTTTGAGCGTAGAAGTTAATTTAGTATATGTCGAAGTAAGATGGGTGAAGCCGTGATATAGTTATATCGCTAGGAATATAGCTTATATAGGAATGTACCTTAACATATTTCATAACTGTCTTACTAAGAATATAACTATGACACGAGCACGATCTAGTAATATAACTATTTTACTAGACTAATTTAGTTAAATAATTTTAAGTTTATGTTATGGTCAAAACCACTTTTGACTGCAAAAATTAGGCAAAAGTAGTTTTTACTAAGGATCAATACCACTTTTAACTACTTTTGACTTAAACTCTGCATTTTTTAAATTAGAAAGTAAATTTTTATCAATATTATATTTTACATCATTATAATGTACGCGACTTTATGGTGGTCCAAATAATGGTTGTCCAAATAATGGTTAAAAAAATATATTTTCTTTCCTCAGTGCCTTGACTTTAGTACTTTAGGATTAGACTTAGTACCATAAATTATTGTTAAAGAACGAAACATAAAATCTTCCATTTTAGGTTATATTAAGCATTTATCAAATTATCGATAGTAAAGATTACATCACTATAATGTAGTTGTTTTTGGATAAAACTTTTTATTTTTAGGTTTATAGCTGATTTTTCAAACGTCAAGAAAAAGTTACCTAATAACTAAACGATAACCTGGCTGGTTATAAAAGTGAAATAATTGAACTATTTATTTTATTCCTGTCGCTGTAATTTATTTAAGTTTTATTTTATCCTCTCAGACCGACAAAAGAGATAAATGAACAAAAAAAAATCATGCTCAACTTCTTGACATGCACACACACATCTTTGTTCTTTCTGCTGGACGCACACATATGTTCCTAAAACCATACTGTTGGTTGCAAATGCATATGTGTACGTGAGTGCGTGTTCTTGCATGTTGAATATTATTTTACATTTAGCTTAGTTTCACGTTATTTGAAATGCACGCAGCGTTAAATCTTTCTTTCTTTCTTTGTTGGTCTGAGATTATCCTATCAAAACTTTTGTCTGATTTTGAAAAGTCAGCCCTTTATAAAATAATACTCTTTATTGTTTACGATTAATTTATTATTTAAAATGGCTTTTAAAATATTGTTAAAACAGCTGTTTGGGTTCGTGGTTAGGATATCCATATTAAAAATATTAAAAGTAAATTAAACTTTATTTATATATTTTTGAATAATTGTTATTGGCCTTTGATCCACGATATAATTTACATATAGCCATCTAAAGGACAAACATCAAAAGCAACTTTCACATTTTTAATAATATTATCATTATAAGTAAAATAGTTCTGGGTTCGAATCTCAGTGGATAAATTACGGGTTATTCTGTAATTCCAGTGTATATTATTCGACTATATGGTCTTAAACATGTGCAGTAACCTCTTAAGCGTCTCCCACATACAAGCGGCTTGCGGTGGTGGCAGTCAGTTGTATCCGCCAGCAATAGGGATGCACAAGTGAAAAATATATACCGATATATATTGTATTTTTTTTTTATAGAATAAGGGTGACAAACGAACACACAGTCCACCTGATGGTAAGTGGACATCTATCTTCGTTTGCGAATTAAAATGCAGATGCGTTGTCAGCCTTGAGGACTAAAATAAAGTGCCTCTTTTCCAGTAAAATGGGCCTACGGTTCTCTACACTCACCATACGAAACACAGCAGCATTAAGCTGCTATTTTACGCCGGTATTCTGTGAGAACGTGGTCCTTCCCCGGTCGAGCCGACCCATTCGTGCTACAACTATACTATTAATATAGCTGCAGCATGGCTCTACCACGTAATTAATCGATATTTTTAAACAGTATCGATATATATTGCGTATAAAGGAGACGGTCCAAAATTGTATGAAGCGTAGGCCTAGTTTATGTACTAGTATGGAAATAAGTTAAAATGAAATATTAAACCACTTTTGATCATTCAAATTCACGAATTTGCCTTAATTTCAGTGCAATTAATATTTATTCTCACCAAAAACTGCAACACTAATGGCGAATTGAAGTCGTTTTGATTTGACGTTAGCTGTCATCTCTGATATCACCTTTAGCCATAGATTAATGATAGACATCGCGCGGTCAGAGCGCAAATGTAAAAGTACTACCTAATTCCAGACAAGGAGATTGTTGAGATAAATCAACGGTGTCTACACACAAAATTATATCATTGCATTCATTAGTGTGTACTAATGCACACTTCAGTGCCAGGGGCATCCAGGACATTTTTGTTTTACATGGGGAAATGGAGCCTAAGTGTTTTGTTAGCTTTTACAAAAATTATGTGCCAGATAGGTCAAAGCCGAGATTATATGTGAATAGCGGGTAACTCCGTTTCTCTACCCTAAAAAATTCACCCTGATATACTACTTTATTGCACTAATAATTAAGAATATATTTAACTCATTTTACTTTAGAGTGGCTGTTTTAAGGTGGATAAACAGAATAATCTTGAATACTAATTTCTGTTCAGGTATATGTGTCTATCTGGGCTGCTGAAGTGCTAGAGTACAATCATAGATAATATATTTGTTATAATATGGTACATTACAGTTGTTACAAAAGAATTCGCATCCTAAATACGTTTCCGGCGTACAAATTTTTCATATAACAGGTCCTCAGCGTGTCGGAGTATGCCTTGAGCCTTGACAGACATTTAAAGTCTGGATAATGTCATAACAAAGGTGAACAGTCCTATAAGTTATAGAAAGTGAAACATTAGGTCAATCATGTTTTGGATACTTAAGGTAATATAAATAAAACAGCTTAATTTTTAAATTTTTTTATTTATTTATCCTACTTCGAAATTCTCTCTTAATAAAATGCCATCCAGAATTGAGGCCGGTGCGGTTATGGAATTTTGATACCGAGCCCAACACAAATACCAGGCAGCGGTCATTATGTGGGCACAGCAACCCACTGTCTGTTATCCAGAAGTGCAACTGCAATAAT